GAATTTCACATTCACCCGACCTGTGTAGCAACACCACACTATATAAAATGGCCAGTGCAAACCAGTCTTTGGAAAGTGTCTTTGGGCGCTGTCAGAGTACCCAGGTATGCTTCATTATTCTAAAGCTTAAGAGGACTAACTTGTGTTAGCCACTTTTTTTAAAATAAATGAACTGGTGTATTTTTAAAGGTTCTATCTCTTAGCTTTATGTTATTTTTGCATAAATTAACAATTTAGCTACATCAAAAGAACCAAACGTACCTCATTAGAGTTGTATTTCCAGTGAAGGGACCAAACCTAATCTCCTCAAATGGGGGCTGAAAGCCCAGTATATGCAAAGCTTCTTCTTGAGTGATGGGTGGCAAACTGAAAATGAAAAATAAGAAAAGAAGTAAATAAAGTAATCAGTAACATATTTTAGACACTCAAGAGGCAAAGCAGTCTATGTCTGACTTACCTTCCAGCTCCCAGTGTACTATATAAGAAATTCCAGCAAGACACTAACGATGAAATGCCACAAGAAGTCTTGTATTGAGGTCGGCTAACACAATACCTTAAACAAAAAAAACCCCAAACACATTAATAAGCATTCTTGATTTACTTATAGGACCACCCTGAACTACTTTTCTGTGTGCCACGTCACTGAAGTGTCATGTTATAGTGGATGTTTTTATGTCACCTGTATTAAAAAATACAAACAAAAAACCAAAATAACTGCATTCTTTGAAAAATAAATTGAGTAAATATGTTAACCAATTTCTTTCTCAGATGCTAGTACGCTATTTTATATTAGTCAGCCAAATTTCCAACAGCTCCACGGGAGTTCTGTACAAATGATCCCACAGGAAAAAACGGTAATGCACTAATAGTGTACAGTCTCTTCTAACATGTCAACTTGCAGTTAAATGCATCTCTACCAATTTACTAATGAATGTCATTCCAGATCGCAGATTCCCTAAGCTAAGCCTAATTTTCTATGTCACAGACAGACAGATTCATTAAACTAAGTGAATTTAGTGAACTATATTCATATGATAATAGGTTGTATAGACACTGTATGTATGCGTAGCATATCCCCATTTCTCCTAAAAAATTTATGAAGACGTTATTAAGAAGTTTTAAATCAGGTAACTAGCAACAGTGTTTAGTGATAAACTGTATGGGAATAATTCTAAACACAATTCAAAAATACTACCATCTCCGAAGGTCCAACACTTTTCTCTCCTTCACATCTTCAAGAGCTGAACGCTGAGGACACTCTCTGTATTGTTTGCTTTTTTTGTCCACAGACTTTTTCTTCATCCCTTGTTTCTTCATGTTGCCTACAAAACAGATTTCAGAAACAAATGAATGTCTAGTTTACCTTCCATAGCTTTCTTCTTAAATACTTCTACTAATAGCATACAGCTCAAATAGAGACACTGGTTGTGTTAGTAACTGCCAACTGGGACTTTAAGTGAAAGGAAAAAGCTCAAATATATAATCAAGATTCTCAACAGGTTTGTAAAGCTGCCATTAGCTCTGTAAACAACATGGTGTTTAGATCATGAACAGAATTAATGATGTCCTGCCCAACTGTTTAGAGAGATAAGTCAATCTGATTATTCTAATGCGTTAAATCAGCCATCCCAGAAATAGACTCTCACACCAACATGGACTTCCCATCTCCTAACATTAAATGCATGTGTAATATAATCAAATGCTTGTTTTTCACTGCCAGCCTTGTAACCAGCTTCTGATGAAAGCTTATATGCAAATTCAGTAAGAATAATATACACCAGAGGTCTCTTCCTTCTCGTAAGCCACGGAGACAGGGAAAAACAGAGAGTTGAGCCACATTGTACAGCAGAAATATTTTTGTCCCATTTTGAAGCCATCACATCCAGATAAAATATACCACATATATTAGAAATTATGACTGTCCTCTAAGACATTATAATTTACTTCTTACTTTTATTTAAGGACACTTCATGTATACATGAAAAGGCAATGGCAACTTGCCAAACATGTTTTTCAGTTTTGCTGAACAGGTTTCATACTAATGTAGAGAAAACAGCAGTATGGCTAGCTAGCCAAGCCATTAAGGAAAAAAAAATCCACAGCACACTCTAGATAAACAGAGGGATTGTAGGACAAAGAAAACCAACTGGGTATGCAAGTGTTTGGTTTGTAGTTGCAATCAGTGACTAGGCAGAGAAAGAACACAGGAGGTAGCAAAGGAGCCAGTTTTAAAGGATCCCTAACACTGTGTACATGTAGCAAATTGAAATAAATAAAATTCTGTTACAGAAACCTACTGTTTTCCTAGGCAACTGTCATGATTCCATTGTCATAAACAAACCACATCTTCAACTTCAAAATACATCTCTGAAGTATCTTGAAACATTTCTGCAAGTGACAAACCTGTACTTAACAGGCAAAAGTAATCATTGCACGATGCACTAGGTCCTACTAAAATTAAAAGAAAAAAAAAAAACACTCCAAAAACACAGTGGGGAAAAAAATACAAGAAACCACCCCAAAAAAATAAAAAAATACACAGTTAAGCAGAAGCCATCCTGTTTTAGAGCCACTTCCCCAGGCAACTACATCTGACTTTCACTCCTCCTATCTCACACTCTTCTTTTCCGATGAGCAGGTTCCTTGAAATGAAGTAGAGGCTCTTCTATAGCACTTCCTCAAGGGATACATGGCCAGCCCACTCCACAAACAAGCTGTAAACATAAAGCCTTTTCCTTTCACATCAAAACTCCACCACCTCACCTGCTTTGTTCTTCAGATTTGTGTTCACACCATTGAACTCCGATTTGTCTATTTCCCATGCCAGTGGAAGCTTTCCAAGACTGCCAGGCAGGCTTTCCAAGTCAGCATCTTCACTGTAGATTATCTCTGAAGCACCAGTTTGAACGCTGAGTAAGTTAGGTGTGTTATTTCCAACATTTAAGGCAGCACTGCCTGACAGGCAGGCACTAACTGAAGCACTTGGGCTTTTACAAATAGATGTTACTCTGTTTAAAAAAGCATAGTCTGAGCAGATGGTATAAAATTTCTCTCTTGTATGAGTCACAGGACATCCCCATGGATAATGCCCATCTCCCCTGGATACCAACGATGCAGTGGAGCTGTCTGACATGCAGTATGGCTTCACAGGATCATGAAGAGAAGCTTCTGGGGATTCTTTCCCAGCTCTGTTTTCAGTGTTTCCATTATTTCCAGAACCATTTTCCTTTTCATCTTCTGAAATGGTAGGCATTGAATGATACTAAAAGAGTATTGCGCAGCTAAGAATACTTTTTCTTTTTGTTTAACTACACCAGGGTTTTCATCATTGCCTCCATTGCCTCTGCAAGGTATTGACGAGGTACCTGAAAGAAAATGTGTGTCAATCAACATAAAATAGACACAAAGCTTATCTTTGAACTCATAGCCAATCAGACCTGAAATACCTTTCAAGATATACCACAACATACATGGTGTAGTTCCCCAAGCACCTCTAGAGCTCTACAAACGGCACTTTTTATTATTTGAGAGTTGCCAAAAGCATACACCATAGTGATACTATGATGAAGACATAACGAGTAATTACATTTATAAACGAGCATACAAATATGAAAAAAATAAATTAAAAAATTAAAAGCTTCCTACATTTACATAGTTGCGGTTGACTCTTCTATCCCTTACAGTAATAGTACACTGTTAATGCTGAGTGCAAAATAATTTATACAAATTAATATATCACAGAACAGCAACTTAAGATCACTTAATTCTGCCAAATCCTGCATACTTTTTCTGCAAGTGGAATGTAGGTGTACAGTTACCGTAACTATAACCTCCATTGATTGTAAATTGACAACACTTCCCTCAATCTGTTCCACTGCTTTCCTCCTATGGCTGTTAAGGATTCCCTTTATTTTTATGTGCCTCCTATCCCTCAAGACGTGAGAAAGAAAAGCAGGTGTTGTTTATGGTAGCTAAGAATTACCAAAAACAAATTTAGAAAAGCTGGCTGGCTTGCTCTAAACGATCACTTTTAAAGGCCAAGCCGACAGCGTGTGTGTTATCTGTCATCTCAGCAGCTTGCACGTCTACAGACACGCGCCGCAGATGGGAACCTGGCGCGAAGGAGGCAGAAATTCCGCTCCAGAGCCGCCTCCTGCGACACGGGCTTCGGGTCGCTGCCACGCACCCCAGCGGCGCACCGGGAGCGGCTCCGGCCGCCTGACCCCGGCAGGGCTCCGCTGGGCACTTCCCAGGGACACACTCCAGGGACACGTCCCAACCCCCGCCCGTGCCCAGCAGCGCCCGCCCTGAAGGCAGGCCCAAGACTCGCCCCTCGCCCGCCCGGGCCGCCCGCACAGCCCCGCCCGGGGCGGGGGGCACCGGCCCCGGGGAGGGGCGGGAGCGCTGGGGCGCTGCCAATCGGGGCCGCGGCTTCCCGCCCCGCCTCCCGCGCTGCAGCCCGCCGGCTCCGGAGCGCACAGCCGCAGGCTGGGGGAAGGGGGCCCGCGGGAGGGTGGATTCGCTCCCTTCCTGGGCGGCGGCGGGGGCGGCAGCAGGGCCGGCGGGCAAGGCGGCTGCGACCCCGCAGCCCGCTCCCGGCCCGTGTTACCTGCGCGGAGCGGGACCGGCCGTGCTCCCTCCCCGGCCGCGGCGGAGCGGGGACGCGGCGCGCCGGAAACAGACACGGCCGCGCGCTCACCTGCGCGCCCCCGCCGCCCCCCTCCTCCTCCGCGCCGCCGCCGCCGGCCCGCACCAACTCCCGCAACCGCGCGGGGTGGCGGGAGGAGCGGGGCTGCCCGGCGGCGGCGCCGCTCCCGCGGCGGGCCCTCACGGTGCCGCAGAGGCACCGGCCGCTCGCCGCCCGGCTGGGCCGTGACTGCGCCTCGGCGCTGTGAGAGGCGCCTCCTTGGCCGCCCCCCCCCCACCTATACGCCCTCATGGTCTCGCCCGCGGGGCAGGCGAGGGAGGGAGAGGAGGGGCAAGTCAGGGATGGCGGGAAGGGGGTCTGGCGTTGGTAGTAGGCACAAAGCGGGAAACACAAAGCCTGAGGGTGCTGGGCCTGTTCAGCCTCGGGAAGTGATGTCTGAGAGGGGATCTCATCAGTGTCTATAAGTATCTGAAGGGAGGGTGCCAGGAGGATGGATCCAGGCTTTTTTCGGTGGTGCCAAGCAATAGCTCAAGAGGCAGTGAGTGGGCAGAAACTGATGCACAGGAAGTTCTACCTTAATATGAAGAAGAACTTCTTTACTGTGCAAGTGACTGTGCACTGGAACAGATTGCTCAGAGAGGTTGTGGAGTCTCCCCTACTGGAGATACTCAAGAACCATCTGGATACAATCCTGTGCCATGTGCTCTGGGATGACCCTGCCTGAGCAGGGAGATTGGACCAGATAACCCACTGTCCTCCCTTCCAACCTGGCCCATTCTGTGATTCTGTGAAAAAGCAAAGTGGTGTTGGCTAATGAAACCCTGATGTAAACAGTTCATCGCCACTGCCACCCAGAGTGCTGCATGTGCTCAGCAAAGCCTCCCAGCTCTGGCCCCAACAGCCACTGGAACTGCTCCCTGGGCAGCTTGGGGTCACCCCATGCCCTCACTACATCCCTTTGGGATGTGGGTGCTCCAGGTACCTGCACCTGCTGGCACCTGCCTGCCCCAAATGGCCCAGGGGGTGTCTGGGACACCAGTCCCTGCTGCCCCAAGCTCTTACGTGAAAGTGGGATATTGTAAGTCAGGCTCAACACAAGTCTTGGCTCAGCTTTGGGGCCATGCTTCTAACTTGGCTACATCTTCCTGCTGAACATAGGAAAGGTGTAGGAGCATAATAGTGAGTGTTAGGTTCTCTCTGGGAACAGGGGACTGACATCTGGACCTTTTATTTGCACCAGGTTTCTCTTGGTTCCCCTGACAGTAGTAACAGTACATGTAACAAAAATGCTTCTGGAAAAGTGTATGAAGAAACAGAAGTCTATTTTAGGTAAGTGTCTAGAACTGCTGAAAATATTTTTCATCACATCCTTCACCCAGCATAATTTCAACATGAACAAACACAATGACACTGAAGATACAGCTGGAGCTGTTCTGGTACTGCCACTATTATTTAAAATTCGTTTATTTTTAAATATCTGAAATCATGATATTAATTGATTGATTTTATAACAAAGTAGTTACAAAATTTTAAATAAAAAAAGTTATATGGTGTACTGCTGAAGATTCACTGCCAGCGATCACAGCACAGTGCTCTCAGCCCACAGAGCCCCTACTCCCAGCAGTAGTTTATGTGAGAAGTGCTGCAGATAATGGGAAAAATAAGTGTCTTCTCGAATGCTAGAGTTATTTGATAGTTCTTAGTGGTTAGGCAGAGCAAAGTTGCAAAAGTCATCTAGAAAGAAGTTGTGGGTACAGCCAAGTTTGCCATCCCCTGTGTTAAGGAAACTTCCCTGTCTAACCACTCTGGCACTCTGGCAGTCAGACTCGCAGGACTGAGGCCCCTTCAGAGCTACACCCCCCACACTCATAGTCAGACCAGGTTTCCTCACAAGCTTGACCCCAGGTTTCCCATAGCGCAGTCTCAGACATCCAGATCCTTAAAATAATTTAATCTTGGTGCAATAACTAAATAAGAAAATAACAGCTCGTGCTGGTGTCTCCGAGGAGGGACCCTGAACAAAGAGACCCCTGGGCTTTTAGACGCTCACAGTCTAAGGAAGGGCAAGTCTGGGGGTCGTCGGCTCCTGCCCTGTCGCTGAGTGTCTGGTCCCCTGGATGGGCCATGGGTCCAGTGCCCTTTGTTAGGCAAAAGGTCAGCAGTTCACAGCCCCTTGCCTCTGGGCTTCTGGGTCTTCTGCACCCCCAGAGCTCAACCTGCAGCTGGCACTGCAGCTGCACACTGAGCTACCTGCACTGAATGTATTCTTTAACACCCTGGACACAAGTTTTCAGTATTTTACATGGCTTCATCCTGAGGCAACATGCCTATTGTAATGGAGAGCAGCCCTTATGCCTTTGCCAGCTGGAAGCCTGTTGAGCCTTAGTCGGCCAACAGCCTTTGATGTAATTAAATGATTCTCCCTCCAAAGCATTTTTATCTGAGCCAAATTATAGACATTAGGGTAGCAGCAACGTTGGCTTTGCCAGCCAGGACTAAAATTAGGTTGCATGATTTATCTTACAACTTGTTTGGGTGCTGACAAATAGTGTCAGATCTCTGCATGGATTCCCTGAGCTGCACTTATGTGGAGGAGAAAAGCTGGAGGAGAGAACATCAGGAGGGTGGAAGTGTGTCACCCTTGCTTCATCACTGCTGTGTTCTTTTTAACATGTCAGTGCCACCCTGCTAGAAAGAAGGATGTTCTGTGAATTCTATAGCTATCAAATTTCTTTTTAGATAAAAACATCTTTAAAGTTCTTTTCCACTAGAGGGGACTGGCTTCTCTGGTACAGCAAAATACAAGTTGAGTATGATTTCTGCCTGTATAACACATCAGCAGAGGTAAAGATGGGGAAAGAAGAGGTAAAGGGTCATGGATATAAAATAGGGCCTGTGTGAATTTTTAGGCTGGAAATTGCAAATCTTCTAACTGAATGTCCTGAAAAATCATGTCAATGGGAACATCATGGGGCAAAAACCATATTTTTAAAAGCTGGAGCTTGATAATTTTTAAGTCATTTCATAATGAGGTTGTTGGTTAGAAAAGACTGCATTCATTAAACCAGCTGATCATTTTTCAGCTTGCAATTTTCTCCAAGCAAGTGACTTTCGTGTGCTTTTCTCTAAACATACAGTATTTCAAAATGTAAAAAACAAAATCTCTTTGAAATTCATGACTCTTTGATGATGAGGTTCAATTTCCTGTATTGTTTGCCTTAACAAGAGAAATGCAAAAAGGAGCAAAATTGAAAGTATCTTTTGGGATTTGAGTTCTCCCATGAAGAAGCCTTAATTTTTGTAAGGCTTCTGCAGCTAAATGACAAAAGCATTTGTGTGAATACAACCTACCTGAAAGGAGATTGTAGCGAGGTAGATGTTGGTTTTTTCAAGTAGCAAGTGATGAGAGGAAATGGCTTCAGGTTGCACCAGGGAAAGGTTTAGACTGGATATTAGTAAAAATTTCTCCACGGAAAGGCTGGTGAAGCAGAGCAGGCTGCCAAAGTTAGTGGTTGAGTCACCACCCCTGAAGACATTTAAAAGGTGTGAAGGATGTGGTGCTCAGGGACAGGGTTTAGTAGTGGAGTTGGCAGTGCTGGGTTAGCGGTTGGACTCCATGTTCTCAGGGGTCTTTTGCAGCCTGAATGGTTGTGTTTGTAGTTAAGCACAGCACTGGCACTAGCGTTCTGCAACCTGAGGTTGGATTATTTGACAGACTAAAGCCCATGGAATCACCGAAGGTGCATGTTGGGCGATTGGCAGCAGACTGATGAGGTGCCCTTTCACCTCCGCTGCGGACAACCCTAGACCTGAGCTACTTGCTGCCACACATCACAGAACCACGGCATAGTGAGAGTTGGAAGGGGCCTCTGGAGATGATCTAGTCCAAGCCCCCTGCCAAGGCAGGGTCTCATAGTGCGGGTGACATAAGAACGTCCCCACGCGGGTTCCAGATGTCTCCAGTGAGGGCTCCCGCGGCGCCTCCCGCCCAGCCTGCGGCTCCAGCGGCACCGCCCCGCCTTCCCCCCCTGTCCCCGCCCCGTGAAGCCGCGCCGAGGGCAGGACTCCCCAGCGCCGCGGCGAGGGCAGGAGGCCGGTTCCGGCGGTGTTCCCCCGTCTGGGCAGCGCTGCCGATGCTGTGGCCTCTGTGCCTCGCCCTGGCAGCCGCGGCGGCGGCCGCGGGCGGGGCCGGGCAGCCGAGCGCCGAGCGCAGCGCGGTGTGGGGGCCCGGGCTGCGGGCCCAGGCGGCGCTCCCCGCACGGTACTTCTACGTGCAGGCCGTGGACGCCGAGGGGCAGAGGTGAGGGCGCGACGGCTTTCCAGGGACATTGTGGGCAGTCCGGAAGGCTTGGGGTTTTCTTGTGGAAAGGGCAGGCTGAAAGATCTCGACCTTACTTTTTTCTGTATATCACTTAGTGAAAACTAATTAATTTTTTCTATGATTATCACATAACTTCGCGATTTGCAGGGGATGAGATAAGAGGATGAAAATGTTCAGCAGCAAAACATACATGTTAGTCCAACCAAAAATTTATTATTTATTCTCCTTTGTCAAAACTTTAACAGTGACAAATACATTTAATTTATTATATTCAGGCATCCAGCTTGTTTCCATTGTTGGGAACATCAGTATTTCTCCTACATGTGTAGGCATGAGATCAGTAGAGTCATTTACTAATTGCTCCATAGTCCATTAGATAAAACTTCATAGGAATGAAATAAGACGAGGAGCAATGGCCATAAACTAAAACACAAGAATTTCCACCTCAGCGTGAGGAAGAACTTCTTTACATTGAGGGTGGCAGAGCACTGGAACAGGCTGCCCAGGGAGGTTGAGGAGTCTCCCTCTCTGGAGACATTCCAAACCCACCTGGACACATTCCTATGTCACCTGCTCTAGGTGACCCTGTCTTAGAAGGGGGGTTGGACTAGATGGTCTCCAGAGGCCCCTTCCAACCCTAAGTATTCTGTGATTTTGTGATTTTCAGAGGACAGTCATGGCTTCCCATTTCTAAAGGGAAGAAACTCTGATTGTACAGCCCAGGTAGGAGCTTGGAATGCTCCATCCAGTCATCCAGATTAGATGCACCATGGCTTGTGTCAGTCCAGAAGCTGCCAGTTCAGTTTATCATGGAAAGTAAATATTTCCTGCCTTTCGTTGAACTGCCAGCTCTCTGGTATGTCTGGACAAGTTAAGGTAACCAGGCTGTTGGGCTGTAGTCCAGCTACTTAGTAGTAACTTAGTCCAGCTAGTCCCACCACCTCTTTCTCTATTCGAGGGTCTCAGTAAATATTTTGGACTATGTTTAAAGAGATGAAAGAAAGGTGGAAGAAAGTTGGCAGATGCAGCATTTTGACTGCACCAGCTTTGTTCGTACCTCAATGATATGTGATAACTTCAGATGGTTTTTCAGATTACTGTATTTGGTTTTATGGAGATTTTTCTGTGTTTGGTATATGGTGAATTTTACCAAAATATTATAAGTACACACTGAATTACATGATCCCACTGTAATGTTTTTTCCCTACTGAGACAATGGAATTTTTAGTATTCTTTTTTTCCCCCTTGTATGAGCTACCATAATGATTAAGATGTTTAACTTTATTCTTTACTTCCTTAAATAATACCTGGAAAATAAAGTAATCTGAAAATATTTTGCGTCTGAATGTAAAATAACAGACTTCTTAAGCTGCTAAAGTGAAACTTGTTTTAGTATTTTTTTAATATAGAATCATGGAATGGTTTGGGTTAGAAGAGACTTCTAAAGATCACCTCATTCCAACCCCTATGCCATGGGCAGGGACACCTTCTATTAGACCAGGTGCCTCAAAGCTCTGTCCAGCTTGACCTTGAACACTTCTACTTATGGGGCATCCACAACTTCTCTGGGCAACCTATTTCTGTGTCTCATCACCCTCATTGTAAACAATTTCTTACTTATATCCAATCAAATCTACTCTTTTTCAGTTTAAAACCATTGCCCCTTGCTCTGTCCCTACAGGACAGGACACCAAGATATATCCGTTTATCTACATGCTCTCTACCTTCCCATCATTTTATATTTGAGCTACTACTAATCAAGAGCTGTGCTGGATTTTTAAAGCTGCTCTGTTCCCATATAGTCAAAGACCGTATTTCCAACACTGTTCAACCTATAGGGCACCAAGTGATTTTTAGAGGTGTGTTCATGACCGAGTGAAACCTTCTTGATGCCTTATGCTTCAACACCATGAGACATTTTAGGTAACCTAACAAAATTCTCTTTGGAAAAAATCACGCCTTGTTTGTGAGCATTAGGATGTACTCAAAGAGGCCTAGCATGGCTCAGTGAAGTTACTGGAAATCTGTTGGCTTGAGAAGGAATGGGTTGGACTAAGAAATCTGTTGTGTGTTGGCTTTTTTATTAAGCTCCCACTTACTCTCTGGGTAGGTTCACTTCGTCACCAGGTGAAAATGCATTCCAGGTGAAGATCACTGCTCCTGATGAACAGTTCACTCGGGTTGGTGTGCAAGTGTTAGACAGGAAAGATGGTTCCTTCCTCGTGAGATACAGGATGTACGCAAGCTACCAAAACCTGAAGATAGAAGTCAAAACTGGAGATAAACATGTTGCACAGTCTCCATATGTTTTAAAAGGTAAGAGGCAGCATTACACACAGATTTCCTATCACAGTTTTTTCTCACAAACTGTGTACCAGAATGTCTTCTTGGATAAGCATAGGATTCTTTGGGACCTCAGTACTTTTCCGAACTGTCAAATCCATTGGAATTATGGATTCATTATAAGTGTCCTACACATACTATTTAAAATAATAAAAAGAAGCAAATGCTGTGAAGCTGTTGCCTAGCAAATACATGGAGAGGGCTCACACAGAAGCTGATGTAGATTGACATGACTCCATTGAAATTAAAAAAAAAATTCAAACGTCCATTTGGAGAGTTGCTGACTGCTTGACCCTAAGCAATGAATGTTCAGTACCTGACCCTCTTTTGTGATCTCAACAAGTCAATATTATGATTTATTAAAAATAATAATTGTGTTCCTGATAGGACCTATTTACCATGAAAACTGTGACTGCCCTCAGGAGGACAGCAGTGCATGGCTGGAAGAGATGAACTGCCCTCAAACCATGCCACAGATTCAAAGAGACCTAGCAAATTTTCCCACTGTTGATCCAGATAAGATTGCAAAAGAAATTCCACAGAGGTTTGGACAAAGACAGAGTTTGTGTCACTACACCATCAGAGATAATGAGGTATGGAATGAGATAATCTGAAGTCCCTTTGGGAACTTGGTAGCAAATCATGCAACTGGACAGTTTGGCTGTTCCCAGTTGTAAAAGCTTCTTTGCTTGCTTCTCTGTCCTTGAATACTTTGCAGTTTGTATATGAGCTCAGCAATATCTGTCCTGCTTTTATAAGTGCTTCTTGTCCACATTGCAACTGAAGCAACTGCAACACAGCAAAGGCAAATTACTTTCCAGGCAATCAATATGAGTACTGGGCACACACCCAAGTCTCCTAAATGCTAATTCAGTTTCCTGTTCGCTGAGTAATATTGCTGTGAAGTATCACAATCATCTAATTTGGAGTGCATTAATACATTACATTGTGCATAGTTCTGAGGTAAGGAAATACCACTTTTAGTTCCACTGAGGATCAGAGCTACAATTCTTTTTAACAGAACTGTACTTCAGTAGAGTTTTAGAGGGAAATGAGTACAATGGAACACAACAGAAATAGGCAACCAGTTTCTGTTTCCATGAAACAGACCTGGAATATTTTAAAAAGCAGGCAAAGCTTGTAATTTTTTTTTGTCAGTTTTCTGTGATGAGATTTCTAAAGCTTCCCAGCTGATTCGTAAATCTGTACAGCCATACAATCTGTCTGATTAGTTGCTAAGCAATTAGAAGAGCTCTAAATTGTGGCAGCCATTCTCTGAAATGAAAACACCAGGCCAATAAAACTTTTGTTTATTTTCAGGTTTATATAAAGACATATGGGGAACATGTTGGCTTCAGAATTTTCATGGATGCCATACTGCTTTCTTTGACAAGAAAAGTGAGTATATCTGCACAGTCATTTATTCTGTATGCCTCAATTTATAGAAACCTGGGCTTAACAAATACACTGCTGCATTTTTGTTGCTGTATCTGTTAAAAAGCTCTTGTTCTTTCATTAATAATGGAAAGGTCAGATGGATTTTCTTTATTTGAAGCTGGCACGTTCTAGAATGCCATCTGATCAGAGTATCACAAAAGTTAATTGAATAGCAGGCTTTTATAGGTGAGTTGATAAATCTGGACAGGTTGTGTTGGGTTTTATTTTCTGTAGACAAAATAAATCATCCTGTAGCATTTAATACGAAATTTGCTAGTACATTTTACAAGATGACTTAAAAAAAGTAGGACATGTATATCATCCTCCATTAAATTCAGTTGAGGAGGAGTACCACAAGCCCAGCAGGTGGTGTGTGGGGAAACTCCCTTGATTGTACAAGCAAAAAGCACCATGAAGACTCTTTCCTAGGGAAACTTTGGAAAAAAAACCTGACGTACATGGTGACAGAATATAGCAGGGCTAAAGTTTCAGCACACACAAATATGTGATTTTTACATAAAATAAGTAGTAAGAGAAATATGAATATAGCCAAGTTAATATCTGGTTTTGACTACAGAAAGGCAAAGTGCCTGGCCTTTTAAAAAGGGGAGAAGGAAGAGAGAGGAACTACTAAAGTATGGAGCTGTTCACCTAAAAACCTTTCTTCAAAATTTAATAAAAATGAACACATTATAAGTAGCTGAAAGATAAGGTAATTGGTATGAAACAACATGGATTTATCATGAAATGTAAGTCATAGCACTATAATTTCTTTCTATAACAAGATAACAGTTTCCCTGTATGATGTCTTCATTTTAGGCTTTTGGGGTTAAGTCTCACAAGTTTCTCACGAACAACATAGAATTCCTTGCCTAGAAGAAACTAATGTAACCTGCTTGGAAAGCCTTACTTAAATAACTTTTGCCAGTGTTTCCAGAGATGTGAAAGGTGTCACAAACATACTTTTCAGAGATTTATCATAGATTCAGTCACCATTTAATAACTAGTTATATTTTGACTGAATAATGGACTAGAGAATATGCTTATTGAATTTTCAGATAGCAAAAACGAAAGAACCTGCAAGCACCTCATGGTACAGCATTATAACTTTAAATTTTCTTAACAAGTAAGAGACATTTTATGGAAAAATGGATAAAATAAAGTGCCAAGGGCAGGATACTACACAAAGGCTGGATAAGTGATATAGTTATGACAGCTATTTAAAAAGGAGGGAGTGGTAATTTTCTGCAGAAAAGCGTGAAGGTTTAAGGTGTCAGGAATGTAATGTGAGTCAACAGTGGCATGCTGTTGTGAAAACTAATCACATATTAACACAACACGTGAAAGAAATGTAAAATAACCATCCCCAGGATGAGTAATGGATCGGTTATGCTACTCTGTCTGCCTTTGGGTGTCATGCTTTAAGAAAGATTGCACAGGAAAATGGTAAGAATGACTAGACATACAAATGAAAAATCATTTAAGTGGGGATTATTTCATCTAACAGTTTCTAAGAGAAGATGCCAATGTAGCCTTTAATTATCTAAAAGGTTGTTCCACAGAAGATGGAAGTAAACTGTTCTTGGTGTCAGTAGTCAGTAGAAATAATGGAATTAAATTGCATCTATGGAACTTAGGCTGAACATTGAAAAATAATTGCTAACTCTGGAGACAGAAACTGTTTACAGATCTAGAAGACACGGTTTGTCTTCTCGGAAATTTCTATCAAGACATTGTCACCGAATGACAATACATCTTTTGGTCGGAGAAGAAGATATAACCTGTTGAATGATTCTGCCATTGAAGATAAAATACAATTTGTATGGGTTTGTGCCCATTATAACCATTAGATGGCACTGTGCTAATGAAGTTTAGTGCTGAGGATTAGAATGTGTAGCAACTCCCACGGAAGGTACACAATGAAACCTTTTCTGTTCGTCTGTGTACTGAAGGCAAAAAGTACTGCTTTGGGTATCTGCCTCTTCCTGTGTCGTCAGGTTAAAGAAGAATATCTTCCAACCATTTAGGGGAGTTTTTATATTTGCTAAATTATTAACTTCTTTTGCTTTGAAAGAGGCAACTGAGGGGGATGTAGTAGAGATTTATGTTTTTTTAAAAAAATTAAGAGAGTGAACTGAGATACAACCTGAGTTCTACACTGACATTATAGGTACCTTCAGGTTTCTGTAAAACACAGCCATATGTCATCTTTTGCCTTTTGCTCTCCAGACTGAACTGTCCTACTATTTTCAGATTTTCTTCACAAGGCAGCTGGTCCTTTCCTTAGAAAAGTGGAAAGCTGCCTTTCTTTGTACCTTTTCTTACTTCACTTGCAAATGCCCAAACCACATGCAATGCTTAAGATCGGGGTGCATCACAGTTTCATATAGCTGCAAAATTATGTCCTCTGTCCTGCTTCCTGGCCATCAACAGTATTTTGCTTGCTTTTTAGCTGTGATAGTGATTTCAGCAATGGTTCCATACTACAAAATATATTAAATAAGTGAGGATGTTATGCTTAATAATTAACCCCAGCTCTGACTAAATGTGGTCTTCCCATCATAGCTGTTCATTTCTGTTTCTTCTGTTGGATTTAGGCATCCTGCAGACACAAGGTGAATCAGTTCACTGATGTGACAGAAAACTAATTTACCACCCAACAGCGATATCCCATATAGTAACAAGGTGGTTCAGCTTATCTTGGAACTATACAATTGCTTACTAGGTCCCAGTGCTAGCCTGATACAAAGATTGTGTGGCCAATTCTGTAAAGAAACCAGCTTCTAAAAAGGGAGCACTTTTGTGACTTTGTACAAATCTTTTTCTAAAAAAATATTATCTTGTAGGCTTTACTTTGTGGTCTCAGTACTTCTAACATGTTTCTAAAGTCTAATGATGTATTACAGGTATATTAAGTATATTAGACAGCTAGTTATTTTTTCCTCATGCTTTCAAAATGCAAGATGGCAGCAGAAGAATACTGCTTTGTGTTAAATTGCACTTGTGCCTAATTTGCTTCTGTTTAGGTGAAAATGCCAGATGTAGAATTTTTTGTTAATTTGGGGGACTGGCCTCTGGAGAAAAAGAAGTCCCCACAGAACCTGCACCCCATCTTCTCGTGGTGTGGGTCCAGTGAGTCAAAAGATATCGTTATGCCAACATATGACTTAACAGACTCAGTTTTGGAGAGTATGGGACGGTAAGAAATTGCTTAAACTTTCCACAAAATTCACAGTGAATGATTTTCCATAGAGATAAGTGTATTAACTGTTTCCATTTATTCATTGAGACAATGGCACGCTGCAGGTAGGCAGTAACTGTGTAATCAATATGTTAACATTATAGTTCACTGTTTTATTTAAAAAACCAAAATCAATAGCAGTTAGAATGTTTCAAGGGTAGTTATTTGGTTTGTTTGCTTTGTTTCTCCCCACATGAACGTATTGATGACTAGCCACGTGTCTTTTTTTCCTGATTTTGTTAGAGTCCGTTTTTCTGTACCTTTAAAATCCCAACATAGCTAGAATTCTTGAACTAGGAGCTACCATCTCCCATGTTGATTACTGATCATAATTAGGCTTGGCAACTGTTCTGTTGTTGTCCTGAAATACTGCCGAGCCAGCTTCTAAGAGATCTCTGTAATCCATCTTGCAACTGTTTATCATTTCACTGCATTTAGTTCTGGTTCCTTTTTTTTGTTATCAAGACTTTCCCTAAATTTGCTACCTTCTGCCCTCCCAGTTTATGTGTTTTAATTTAGCAACGTTTTTAAGGAAGTGAAATATGCTGTATTAAGCAAGTTACTTTACCCTGCATCACTTTCACCTGTTTGGAAAACATATCCACTTTTACCTGCTTTTTTCCATGACAATTGCCAGGTGCTCTTTCCCCATGCCATGTTGTTGAACTGATGCTGTCATGCCACACGTCTGTGAACTTAACATTTGTTATCTGTTTTTATTGCTCTAAAATACTGATACAATACAGATCATGGTGTGCTCATGACTTACTTTCCTCCTTAGTATTCGCCTGTTGGTACTGTGAACTCTTTGAAGTAATGCACTTAAAAATATTTCCAGCAGGCTTCCCTATTAAATCACTTCTTTCTGCTCCAGAGTCAGTCTGGATATGATGTCAGTTCAAGCAAACACTGGCCCATCGTGGGAAGACAAGAATACCACAGCATTCTGGAGAGGACGTGACAGCCGCAAAGAGAGGCTTGAGCTTGTAAAACTCAGCAGAAAATATCCAGAGATCATAGATGCTGCTTTCACAAACTTTTTTTTCTTTAAACATGATGAAAGCCTCTATGGCCCTATTGTTAAGCACATTTCATTTTTTGATTTTTTTAAGGTAAGTCACTAACCATTTTTCATAGAACTAGGTTCTCGATGTTTCCCATTATCGAATAACTTAGTATGTATTATTGATAATAAAGTGGTTTTTAGTTTTTCAGGACAACACCAGTAACAAGCATGAATAGACATCCCTCCAGGGAGATTAACTGCTATGTAGCTCTTACACTGAAGATGATAATGTCTGATTTACGTCTAAAGGTTCTATAGAACCTTATGTAATCTATATAACTTCAAGTTCCTTTTTATTTCTTTTTCCTGATTCAGCGATCAGGACTACTAACATAACTAACATAGTGGGAAAATCGGTGGATGAAGTGGCACATCTACCCTCACATCAGAGGATGAGCGTCTAAGAATTCCCGGAGAACTTAACTGATGAAGAGGGCAGCTCTGTGTACCCTGCACTGTGATGAATTCCAAACTAAATAATAAAAGCTACTTAGACATTGATGCTTGCCTAGCCAATCCTACATGTCTCAATATCGGCAAGTCAGTAACACCAGTGCCCTCAGAATAATATAATCTAACCAAGCCACTGGGATCTTGTGTTTGTTAATAACGTATGGTCCTTTTCTTTCCAGTATAAATATCAAATTAATATTGATGGCACAGTGGCAGCATACAGATTGCCTTATCTACTAGCAGGAAACAGTGTGGTGCTAAAGCAAGACTCCATATACTATGAGCATTTTTATAATGAGCTGCAGCCGTGGAAACATTATATTCCATTTAAAAGTGACCTGAGCGATCTACTAGAAAAACTACAGTGGGCAAAAGAGCATGATGAAGAGGTAAATACACATTTAGAAGTGCTCAGTAATGTTTCTAGAAGAGAACAAAAATTGCATTTCTTTAAAACAAACAAAAAAATGTATTAGAAGAACTTAAAAATTATTTTTAACTCCGCAAATAAGAAAAACACTTGAAAAAGACATAATACTGTCCTTAATTTGAAATTGAACTTTGCAAAAAATGAAGAACATTTTCATAACAGTGCCTTAACATTTAAATTAAAAATGCTTATTTAAGTTATCCTAAACTCTCAACATCATACTTAACTCCATAACCAACACTGGCATCCTGAAATAAATATTAGTTTTGGGGAATAATAAAAAAACAAAACAAACCTTTTATTTTTTTTGACAGGCAAAAAATATTGCAAAATCTGGACAAGAATTTGCAAGAAACAATCTCATGGGAGACCACATTTTTTGTTACTACTTCAAACTTTTCCAGGTCAGTATATTTTTAATGGCTACTGGCACAAAAATAGAAATCACAAAGAAAGAATTCAGGGCAACGGAGCTGCTGGAAATTGGCCAGCCCAATACTTGAAGCCACAAAGCAAGCATCAGCAATTAAAATCTTAATTTGGTTTACAAACGTATTCAATTATATCCTGTGAAACCCCTTTAAGACTGTGGTGATGTGATGCTTTGAGAAGCAGTCAGATCCCATAAATCGTGATCTAATCTGCAAGAATATGTTGCCCACAATGATCAAAGAATTCCACATCAGATGCACACCCTGTGAACCACAGCTGAAAATATCTGTGCATTAGCACCAAGGTACCGAAACTCCAGTGAGGCACCCGAAGGGGCTCCCTTCTGCAGTTAAGTATCTGCTTACCCTGTGACACAGTGTGGAGTAACAGATTGTGTACCCCAGAGTTTTTACAGAATTACTCAGCTGAGTTGGTGCAGTATTTACAGCCAGACATACAATCTAACAACTTTATGAATTAACAATACCTTTTTTTTTTTTAAACTAGGAATATGCCAGCTTGCAAGTGAGCGAGCCAAAAATCAGAGATGGAATGGAGAAGGTGCCACAGCCTGATGATGACCTTTTCCCATGTACTTGCCACCGAAAAAAGGTACAGTACATGCAGAGTTAAACATGAAGTGCTAGGTGTCTTCAGTTCTTGTCAACCTCCCTGGGAGAGGCGCTGCTCAGTGCCCCTGGTATCAGTTAACAGGCCAAGCCATTAACACCTATCAAACTTAGAAATGTTTCTTGATGTATTTGCAGGACTAGACAGTGAAAAATTGAGCTTCCAGTTAACTGAAACACATTTCTTCTTTCTTGACTGCAGGCCAAAGATGAACTCTGACAGAAAGGAATTAATTAATTTTTTCAGTATTTGCCTACATTCAGACTGTCAGAAAGAAGAAAAATTTGAATTAATATGCCAGTGGATAATGTCAGTGGATATTATGAAGTTTACCATATAATGATCGACATAAGGAAGAAAACAAAGTACCTCCTATTTCCTTTTTATTATGTGGTAGTGGCAGAATCTTGGTTCAAACACATTTTTATAATTTTTTTTAATAAAAAACATGTTTGTATCAGTTATGTGTTCCTGTCTTGAGTTACCTTGGAGATCCAGATACTTTTTACTCATGCTTGTTATACTGAGTCTTTTCAGAAGTATGTTCTGCGTACATTTGCTCCCCACACACATATCTACCCAAAGGCTTCTTTTTCAGACCATAACCTTGATCCTTCTGAGAGAATCAGTATTCTCAAAGTTAGGGGTGTGGGGTTCATAATAAATCTTGTTAACCTGAAGGAAAAACACAATTCATATATTGCTGTTAGCTTTGGTTACACCAGCAGGTTACTCATAGCCCATAATGGGGAAGGCTGCAGCTGCCAGCACACAGGAAGTGTTTCATCTGCTGTGCAGTGTCAGAGCTCAGACAAGGACTTGAGTTCCCCTTGCTAATGGGCAGTGGGGTCCAGACCCTGGACTGCCTCTTTAGAGCCCTCCAGAGAAGTCTTGCGCAGCAAGTCACACTGGAAGCAGAACCGCTTCCTGCTCCAGGAGCTCCTCCATCCCTATAAACACAATTTGTTGTTCATCAGTATTTATTAGAGGGCCTCTGTGATCAGTCCTTTACACAAAGGACGTGTCTGGAGGAGACTGTTCAAAACTGTAACCCACGTTCTTTGATCCACTGGCCAGCTGTGCCTGCATTACCTCCTCCTCCCCACACAGTCCCACAGTCTGGCTCCGTGAGGTGGCGACACTGTAAACCATGAGACTCCTCTCAGCACCTGGGAGTGGAGGATGTGGGACCAAGGCAGGGCAGTACACCAGGCTCACCAGCCTCAGGGGATGTGCTGGTAGAATTCTACAAATCAGTAGGTTTTAATTGCAAGCAAGTACAGCATCAATGATGTACTCAGAAACTGAAGGTACCTAAAGATATGCTGTCCAAGTAGATTTTTTTCCAGTATATTACTTCAAATATTAGTCAAAAGCATTTACTTAGTGCTCTCATTCCTAAGTGTTGTATATGGTTAATTGCACAGAAACACAGAAAAAAATGCTGCCATGATACTAAATATTTTCTGTCCTTCAAGAAGTTCTTTATTGTTTTGCATATTTTTTTAATTCATACAAAGCTTTATTTGCATTTGCACTGAGACCTGTGAAAAGATCTGTTTTAAAAAATATGCCTCTCAAAAATAACAAACTCTTAATTTGCCATATTTAGGAAAAACTATATGAAGAAACTGCTTAAATACTGCAAATTATTTGTGCTCCAGTTCAACATTCTCTTTAAGCCATGAAAAAACTTGTGCGTTTATTTCTTCCATGACATCATCTGTTGTTCGTCCTTTGACTGCCATCCCATGGTTAGCTTTATCAATCCAATGGATTTTCTTGGGGGCTTTCATTTTGCTTGCCACACCTTCTAGCAATTGCTATGGAGAAAATAAGAATTAAAAAGTTAGAGAATCAGCTGCTACAAACTGTGCAACTCCTAGATGTCTCTCATTTTGCCTGTGTAATGCCTAATAGGCAGCTCTTAAAAACAAAATGGATTTGTGTGCAAATGAAAAACACCTTGATAGGAAAATGGGATGATTCTGTATTCAGGATATGAATGCTGTGCTCAGCAATGGGATCTGCTCAAAGGTCTGCCCTCACTCAAACACAGAATAGCAGCAAATTAAAACTTCAAAAACTGAAAAGGTCACAACCCTGTGCAGGCACCTTCCCCACAGTGACAAAGGAATCCACTTCTACTGTTAGAGGGTAGTGCTAGCAATAAAGATAGAACTTTCTAAGTCAGATTTGTCTATAGGGGCTGAATAGCAATATAATTTCTTAGGGAATTAATAATAATTCCTTAGGCTTTGATGCTGTTGCACTTTCTCAGCAACCAGATCTAAGAACCAGTTCAGAAACTCTTAAAGATTTCTGCATTAAGAGGGCACTCCAGGGATCTGCCGGTTGCTAGCCTGACTTATTTTGGTGACAACTCCTCTCAAATGCACTATGACTCCTTAGAAGCTGTCCAGGCATGGAAAATGCCAGTTGGACACACTCCCAAATTCAAGCTGACCTGTTCAAGAACAACAGATACTTGTTTGCAGGAAAATGAGGCAGAAAACCACTGTGTGCTCACCTCTGCACACCTGCTCTTCATCTCTACAAAAATATCACTCTCTGCTACAGAAACCTGATTTGTGAGCCAGAACTGCTTTGCTAGAAGAATTTGTCATGAAAACGTGACAAATATGAAATTGGTAGTGCAGTACAGCATATATGTTTTGTAACCTGAAATAGTTAAAACAAAATAGCAACTCACTCCTTCCACGGGCCACTTTTAATTTGTACAATAAAAACCACTTAAATCTGCGGTATTGCAGTGGCCCAAAGATGAGTTAGCTAAAGTGGAAGATCAAGCGTGATCCATAGGTTTTAAGCAGCAAAGGAAAGCACTACAAGGCTTCCTTATGTCCAGCAAAGTCCACCCAAGGTTTCCTTCAGAAGACCTATATTTAGAGAAGGCTGTAATCAGGTACACCATACAGATGTCACTCTGGCTCATTTTTACTCCTCCAGACTGCCTTTTCATGGCAGGATTTACAAGGGTACTCACTTTTTCACACATCTCATCTGCTGATCCTGAGACAAACAGCACTGGACAGCTGATAAATAATAAATCTTCATCCCGGAGCTTGGACTGAAGTTTTGGTCGATGCAATGGGTAAGATAAACATATGAGACCTCGAATGAAGTCATCATCATCATCATCATCATCATTCTGGCTAAGCTGACGTATCAGAGAGGCAGCAGCTCGTGAGCCCATGGAACGGCCTTTCTCCCATGTAGAAATAAAGGAAAAAGTATATCTGCTGTCACCTCATTCGCATTCTGCTTGAGTAAACCACTCCTAAAAACAATCCAACTGACTGTATATCAGTGTACCAGCAGTATGAAATGCTAGCGATGCTTTTATTCTTTTATTCCATGAAAAATATTAACCTTAATTTCAACCTTTTCTGCTAAAATAGTTGTCTAATTATATTATGATTTCATGTACCCATTTAAAAAAGAAGGGAAAAAGAAAAGATAAATGAAGAAGGATCCTTTGCAATACTGGAAGGATACAGCCCATCCTGGGGCAGGGGGAAGAGAGGGATAGGTCCTATGCTCTAGAGCCTTGAAATTTGGGATAGCCATTATATAATCTTATATAATTCTTTTCATGCAACCCCAATCTGGTCAAATTAAAACAAAGTTCTATGCACCTTATTCCCAAAACCAAACCAGCAAGTGTTTATGCACACCTCAAACTTCAACCTAAAAGTAAAAGTAGAAGGGGAAAAAAAAGATAAAGTGTGAACTTGTAGCACGAGGTCAGTCAGTAACAGCAGGGGAATATCAAAGCATCTCCTCAAAGACAAGGCATATGAGCTGACAATGCTCTGTAATTGAGTGTTACAAGTGGCTGATTCCAGTGGGATTAACTTGCATCAGCACAGATTTTGTTTCACTTAGTCAGAGAACATTTAGAATTTCCCATATCAAGTTATTCCTAATCACCCCATCTACTGCCCTTTTCACATAATACAGCTTTTTTTTTTTTTATCTGCCACTAGGTTTTAACTACCAAAACCTGTTTTGGGAAAACTCTTTTCCATTTACCAGTAACTAGAATTCTTCAAGACCTGCAGTTAAAAAGTACACATGGATTATCAAAAAACTCATGCCCTGTCACTTTTAAGTGATAAGTAAGTTTTCTCCCAAAGTACCTGGAAAATGCAATCTGTTGCTCTTTCCTTCCTCCTCTACAGCAAGATCTGTGGCATAGTGAGGAAGGTGAATAGATCTAGACAGCCATGCTCGAGAATCTGACAGAAGCAGCAGGCTGAATGTTCCCACTGGTGACCCGAGCAGCAGTGCTGCTCAAGCCAGCTGCACACATGCCCTGCACAGTCACCAGCTCCAGGGCTGGTCACATTCAGCTCCAGGGGAAGACCCCCAAATGCAGATCTGTAAGTGGGCTTGGCACCCATGTTCCCATGGCAGGCAGAGGGCTGCTGATCCACTAATGAAGGTTACAGAGCATTAAACTGTCAGCTCTCCCCAGCTAACCAACTACTGGGAGGTTATTCAGCTTGTTCGAACATCAGACTGAAACCTGTCATCCACATCTGTTTGTTCACTTCTCAACAAAGTGGGATAGACTTGGAATAGTTACAGACTGCTATTACTGGAGACAGTATAAGAGAGAAAAATATTGATAATAAAAACAATACCTGCAAGGAAGACACCATAAAGTTTATAATCATCAGAAAGTTTTAAGTATTCCTAAACAAATAAGATAAAGAGAAGCATTACAAGTCAGAATTATGACAGCTGGGAAGCTGGAGATTTCTTCTGTTTGCAGCTACTAAATACAAAATGGGAAGCTCTTTTAGCGCTTCAGATTAAACAAAAAACAGATACATACAAGTTGCTCTCTTGGTTTTTTCACACAAATGGTTTCATAACATTTTGTAGCAACGACATAAACATAATCGATTTCACATTAGCTCTCAGCAAGTCTAAAATATCAGGTGCCCTATCAAGTTACCAAAACATGAGTGATTACTGTGTATTAACTTAGTGTAGTAACAGAGGCCATGCACGCCCTTGGCCCATCAAAAGGAAAAATGTTACCAAAAATGCCCTTCATTCAGATCATGTATTTCCAATTACACGTTTGAGACACGATCATTTAAGTCTGACAGAAAAGATAAAATTCAGCAACAATTTTCAGTTTTTAGGAGACAACTAATCAGATGCTATCTTAGCAGAGGCCTTTAAATTACCTTTACACAGCAGCATATTAACATAAACTCACTAACAACATTGTGCTTCTTCCAAAAAGAATGTAGAACAGATCCACATTAAAGAGAGAAAAGTCTGACTTTAAGTTAATGTACATATAATCCCAATGACATACAAATTAGTTCCTTAAAAATTGGAATTTGTTCCCCTACAAAACTGCCTCATGCTCAAGGAAAAGTGCTTCCCATGCCCCACTTAAAGTCACAAAATAATCAGGAAAAAATTTCCGTTCCGTCCTACATGCTCCAGAAGAGGAGGATTATCTAAACTGATTCTATTGCAACAAAAGCTTCCTTATTTTAACAAAACTTAACTACATGAGAGCATCTTTAACAATGTACCAGCAGCAGAAGGAGATAAACATCTGCATATAAGAGGTTAAACTGATTTTGAAATCAAAGAGTACTTAGATATTAGGGTTCTCATACGCTAATTCCAATCTCTCTTGCTTCAAATCCTGCCATGACCCAGTCCCCTACTCTTTCCCAAAATCTGCTTCTCCAGCTTCCAAGCCTCAGAGACCCAGCACAACTCCCAGATCAACTTCTTTCTCTCAAAACTACTTTTAAAGCTGTTTCTCTTAATCCCCCACCCCTCACCAAGCCCTCCCAGAACACCTACCTCTTGCTTCCATCCCAAACACTTGAGTTTTTTTTCAAGCTGCAAATTTTCCAGGAAACACCCTTGCTTTTTCTCAAACTTTACTCCCTGAACTCCAACCCACATATCTGTGGTAGCTGTTCCTGCTATTGCCCACGTAAGAATTGTTTCTGCTGTTTCTGTATACAGATAGCTCCATTTCGCTAATCATTGGTTCTAATTTTCCTGCTGTTGCCTGACTAATGCCTGGCCGTAATTTCAGAAACCTGGAAGACAACACCAATAGATCTAAGCTTTGGCAGAATTTGGTCATTTCTTACCACAACTGTTTTGAAAGCCTTAGTCCTATAAGCAACATTAAGACCTTTACAAGTAAACCGCAGGCACAGAACTCCACGGGATGCCAGATAGGTTGCCAAAGACAGTAAGTGAGGGAAATTCATATCTCCTCCAGCTCCATGGGTAAGAATCACTCCATATGTTGATTTCTTCTCTGGGACAGAGAAGATAGCATCAAGATATTTGTTTCCAAAAGGTATTTTCACTTTAACCTAGAAATGAAACAAACCCCAATATTATTAAAAAAAAAGGAAGCGTGTTCCAAGTCCACACATTATGATGAACTAAAATCAGACAAGAAATAAACAAAAATTGCAAGCCTGCTTATATTTCTTCCATTTAAGAGTACTAAATGAGTAAGTTTACATTACTCAAAGATTCAAAGATTTTCCATACAAAAATGGGCAAGTCACTTTATGACTCAACACCTTATGTGCTGCATTAGAAAATGAAGCATCCCTAGCTTCAAAGCATAAATTGAAACGATTCTTACCTTCTCTATGTATCTATGTCTAGCTTTTTCAGAACCAACTAGCAGCCTAAACCACAAGAATATGCAATATTAAGACACAGCTCAGCAAACATCTCCAGACTGCACAGTGGGAACCACTCACTGAAAGAAGCGCAGCCTGCATATAGTCAAGGACTGAACTCTCCCCAGGGACAGGAGATAGCACAGGTGCAGACAATGTCAGCTGCAAGGGGGGCGCAGAAACCCCAGTCAGCACAGGAGGAGCAGAACCAAACTGCTCAGGACCAGCTGATGTTCTGCAGAATGAAAGGGAGCTGGACAGCAGAGCATACGTGTTCCTGCTGCAGCTTCTGAGAACAAAAAGGCAAACACCCCGGTGCTGGGACGAAACCCAACTTCATTCCACTGCCTCCCAAAGGCTCTCCCTGGCAGCGCTCCCACGGGGGAACTGCGCAGAGGGGCAGGAGGTTGGCGGCGGCCTGGCCGAGCTGCTGCTCCCATAGCCTCTGCCCGGCCGAAGTGGTGGGAGATGCCAGACAAGGGGATGGTAGTGGCGCCTGTACACAGAATGGGCAGAGCAAACACAGCTGCACTTCCCGACCCCCGGGCCGCTGCTCAGCGGGGACCAGCCCAGGCGGCCTCAGCTGCCCACCAGTCATGGATGCGCCTCTGCGGAGAAGGCAGAGGCGGTAGCACAACCACCCCGCCCCGCCTTCCCCATCTCTAGGGGCTCCTCAGAAGGGAAGGGCAGTTGCCGAGGCTGCAAGACCCCACGTATCCCAAGGGAACAAAGGCACGCGGACCCCGCCGGCAGCAGGGCCAGCCGATCAGATACGGCCGGCGGCCATACCTCGGCATGCCCGCTCATCCTGCCGGTGACGTCACGCAAGTGACAGTCCGCCGAGCCAGTCCCGCCCCGGAGGCCGGGCACTGCCTGGCGCTGATTGGTCCACGGCGGGCGAGACCCCGCCCTCCCCGAGGCGAGAGCGGGCAGTGGGGAGGCGTTGGGGCTGTTGGGGAGCTCTGAGGGTGGGTGGGTTGAGTCGCGTTAAGTAAACAAGAACTGACGATAAATAGCTTTTAGTCCCCTGTACATATCAAAAAACACAGAATGATGGATGGTCACTCAGAAGAAATAAACCCAGCTATGTGGGGATTGCTTGGAAAGTCATGTTCTCACTGACTTCAGGGAGTACAAATGTGATGCTTCTGATGAGTTACAGATCACAGAATCAGTTACGTTGGAAAAGACTCTGAAATCATCGAGTCCAGTCTTTGACCGAATACCACGTTGTCAACTAAACCACAGCATTAAGTGCCATGTCCAGTAGTTTCCTGAACACCCTCCAGGGGATGGTGTCTCCACCACTTCCCTGAGTAGTCCATTCCAACGTTTAACAACCCTCTCCGTGAAGAAATTCATCCTAATGTCCAGCCTAAACCTACCCTGGTGCAGCTTGAGGCCATATCCTCTTGTCCTGTCACTAGCTGCCTGGTAGAAGAGACCAACCCCCACCTGGCTACAACCTCCTTTCAGGTAGTTGTAGAGAGTGATGAGGTCTCCCCTGAGCCTCCTGCTCTCCAGGCTGAACAACCCCACTCCCTCAGCCACTCCTCATAGGACTTCACCAGCTTCATTTCCCTTCTCTGGGTACACTGCAGCACTGTAATGTCCTTCCTGAACTGAGGGGTCCGAAAATGAACACAAGATTCCAAATGCAGTCTCACTGGTGCTGAGTACAAATGGAAAGGTCAGATGTTCAGAGCAACATCAGGCAATTTTTTTGACAGTTGGTGGAACACTGGATCTCTTTGGCATCCACAAGCAGGAGAGATAGACTCCACGGCTGGTGCTCTAGGTACCAACACATATCTATGCCTTGGACTGTGCTTTATTGTACAATAAATAACATAGTGTGTTCAAAACACAGCCCTAAACTGATGAAGACAGCACCAATAATCTACAACAGTGCTTGCAGTATTTGTATATTGAGTATTTCTCGGAAAAAAAAAATTCCAAAATCTCCTATTGCAAGGTATTTAGTCAGAGATCATGTTTTCTTCCAGTATCAGTGTATAAAAACTCATATCAATTAAGGTGCCTTATGACTTAGCTGATTGAAGATGTCATCACCAAATAGAACTTTGTTTTTCATGTGTTCACCTGCTGGAAAATAAGCACTCTCTGACTTCTGCTCCAAACATCTCACTGATTGTCACTCCACCAGCTGGATATTGTCAAACACTGGAATCCAAATCCTGCAGCCTTCTGAGAAGTGAACCTGGCATGGCAGCTCAGGTCTAACCTGCTGTCTCAATGACCACCCCTGCTGCATGAGGACAACCAGCCTCACAGGCAAATTCCCAGTCCAGGCATTATTATCATAAGTGTGAAAGACAGAAGTGGAGAATCTGAAAAAAAAAATGGGGAGATATATTTGTCTGAATTTCTACCTTGCCTAAAAAATGTTAAGCTAAAGAAAGATGCAGATGCTTAAAGCTGAGTGAAAGGCAGCAGCACAGCCTGAATGAGTTGTATGCCTTTCATGAGGAGCTGCACCACAGATGGTGTTGAGACAGCAGCTCCTTCAGCCATAGCTCAAATTTGGGCAGTCCAGCAGACTAAGGGAAAGAAAATGCTTCAGAGCAATGCAAGATCAATTTATCTTGGATGAAGATGACACTATTCTGATTAATAGTTAACACCAATTAAACCTTTATAAATGAGATATTGGCAAAAAGGGACTGAGAAGACTTGTTGTCCCAAAGTAGTTACAACCTCAATCTAGAAAATAGGAATGCAAGAAGAAAGTTAAGAAAAACTTCGTATTCATTTTCTATTTTTTTTTTCATTGCTTTCTTTCCTATACTTAAGTGTTGCTTATGTGGTTTTCTGGGGATTTTATTTTTTAATTTTTCCTCCCACTTAAGTCCACCTGCTATATTTGTCCTGCTTTATTCACATACTGTTTTCAGAGCAGTCCTTGAGGAACATGTATCCCATTAAATCTACCCAAGTGTAACCTCTTCGCACTGGAAAACTGCTTTCTTATGCTTTCCTCATACAGCAAGCTGCTACCAGTTTCCTTTCTATGTTCTCTCTTCATTTTCTAAGACCAAAACTCCTTTCAATATTTAAAAGTCTTCTCTGAATAAGCACAGCCTTCAAGGTAGTCTAGCTAATACCTGGCAGAGTCCAGAACAATGCAAATGCCAGATTGGATGGGGCTCTGAGCAACCTCGTTTAGTGGAAGGTGTTCCTCCTCATGGCAGGAGGGTTGGAACTGGATGATCCTTAAAGTCCTTTCCAACTGAAACCATTCTGTGATTCTATGATGAAATGAATGTGTCAGGAAGAAGAGACTCTGTCATTTTTTTATCCTTTGATCCATGCGAATGGGGTTGGACTAGCCTATTTTTGCCACACTTCTCCTGCAGAAACTCTCCTTCTGGAAAAGGAAGTGGTGCCAAATATTGCTAATATGTCAAAGGCTAGGAACTTGAGTTATAAATACATACATTAGATTCCAACTCATGGGCATATTTTTTATGATGGATAAATTCTGGGTTTTATTAAGTTCTGCATATGTAATGAAATACCCTGATTTACATGCAAATGAATTGTTTTTCAATTTTGCAACATAAGGCAATCCTCATATCTAACTATTCAAAATTAGGTTTCTGTGGGTTTAGGGCGACATTTAAGTAGATTCTGGTTAATTTGCAATGTTCTGGTAACTCTTCTGAAATCCAGTTGTATTCACTTATAGGCATATTGAAAATCCTAATTCTTTTCTTTACACACTTATATATGAATTAAAAGTCTAAGTTCAAGCTCCCACCTTTGAAAAAAAAAAACAGATTATAAATATTTTTTAATTTCTTTATTAATATTTTTAATTAAACATCTAAGAAAATGTGGTTTCTTAGGTACATGGTATCAGTTCATAACTTTAATCTTACATCACCCCTGGAAATAGAAGTTTATTCTGAAAACAATATATAGTGCATAGTAACCTAAATTTGTCACCAAATATGAAAACTAGGAAAGGTATGTGATTTGTCATTTCTCAATGAGAATATATGTTGAGTGTTATAATAAGCTATACACTGCTGTAAGCACCTCTGACAGATTTGATATGCCAAAGACAGCTGGGTTTGAGGAAACAGTGGCTGTTTATCAAAGAACGACATTATCCCCAGTCTAAACCTGGGACCTGTTAACTTTCAGTAGCACATCAGACAATCCCTGTTCTTTTCCTCAGATTATAAATACTGTTTTCCATACCAGAGACTTAGGTTAACACAACTCATGCAATGGGAACAACAGAGATGACCCTTCGCACTAATCTTGTGTTGGAATAGATTTGTTTAGAAAAATGTTTAAAAGTAAATATAAGTGTAAAAGAATATATTGGGATTTTCTTTCTGTATTTCAGTGCAAAATAACTAACAGCTTAATGGCATGGGGATCAAAAACATTTTTTTCTTTTCTTAAACTCTTTAATAAAAGACCATCAAATTTTTTTGCTCGCTTTAGGCTGAAGACATACATATTTGTTTTAAAAGCTCAGCTCTCCCTCTAAATTACAAACTTGACTTTTGACCAAGAGCCTTCGTTTTTTCTCTTCCTGAGGATGTGGACATGCAGCAACACATGAACATGCTGTGTTCACAGGCATCAAAACCAACTTTACTAATTTTCTGAAAGTGATCAGCAAGCTATTATTTAATTGGCCAGTACAGTTTCCTATGTTTAAAAGTGGTGATATCCATAACACTGCCTAATTTTTAACTATCCTATCATACGTCTAGAGGGTCTGAAAAAGTTTAGAGATCCTCTGTGAAAGAGGAAGTGATGGGCAGGCAATAAGCAGAACCACTATAACATGCAGAAAAATACAGTATTTTAATGTGGCATATGTAAATCCTCATGTCTCCATGATGAGCTGGAAAACTTGGTCATTTGCATTGGATGACTTTCTTTAGCAAGGGTGAAGGAGCAAGCCAGATGCTCACATTCTCAAGGTACAGACATTGGCCACCAGTGAGATCAGAAACTGTCTTGGCTATAACTTTTTTCGGGACTTTGGGCTGGTCAGAAGGCAGAGTATTCAAACCAATCTGAAAACAGTTCTACTAGTGGTAATTCTGTAATACAGTCTGATAAAATGTATTTATTAAGTGATTTGTTCGTTCCCCATTGATAACCATGGGATTGTTTTATTATTATACCTGTTTTTATATATAAATATATTTTTTGATTATATTATTATATTTTTTCCCATGATCTCAGCTTATTGTGCCCACCTGTTATATATAGTTAGCCTATTCAAACTGTAATATATTAGTAACATGCTTACATAGTAATATAATGTAATATATATAATATATAAGAAATGTTATGTATTTGCTAGATAGTGATTTTTGTGAAACTATGCCATGTACAGAGAACTGGTGCCTTTTGTAGCATTATATTGGCCACAAACATCACATTGATCACATAACATGAGGTAGCAAATGTGCAGCAAATGTGCAAAGACTTCTCTCCCTTTGAACTGCGTAAGACCCTTTGGGAACATTTTTGGCTTTGTAATTGTCATTCTAAATGGAATTTCCTTACTTTAATTAAGGAAAATGTCATCATAACACATGCTTTTGGATGGCAAATTTGGATGCTATACATTTCTCAGAGTCTTTGTTAGGGATTTTGTATTCCTTCATTGTTCTTGATAAATGCAACCACTTTGTTTTCCAGTGGCAGGTGTTACAATCCATGCGTGTGCTGGGACTGCACAGAGCACTGCTGGCAGGAGATCGCTCTGGCTGTTCTGTTCCCTTGGCTTACAGTGAACTGACCTGGCCAGGAGCCAGTGGAACAAACCTTTCTACTCCCACTGCTGCGAGGAAAGAATTAATA